AGGCCGTATTTCTACAGAACTACAGTAGTCATGAAACGCGGCACTGGAGACACTTTTTCTATGAGTAGTTAGGGTTATAGTTAGGGTTTGGGGACGTAGGGGGGTTATTGTTTCGCAGTAAGGGGGTTATTGTTTCGCAGTAAGGGGGTTATTGTTTCGCAGTAATGAGGTTATTGTTTCGCAGAAAGTTGCAAAAAGAAAAAACTCGAAAAGCGTTCGGGGTTACAGAAAGCCTTATTGTTTAACATGTCCACAACAGTTTCTATTACAAATGAATACCGAGTGAAAATCAAAATCAATAACTCTTGGTTTGTTTACCTCGACACTACAGAGATCATGATGTATCTCATGTCCTCTAAACGTAGACGTCAGACCACATATATCCAGTGGACCATGAACATTGGCGCAGCCTACTCCACAAGTGACGTTGCGAAGATCCGGGATATCGTAAAGCCCGTGCTTCAGGTGACTCTGGGGTCCAGAGGCATTTCAACGATTGATAGTGGCATCTACATGATATACATTGGTAAGGTCAGAGACCTCAAGCACCTCTGTGTGACACTGCCAGCGAGCTGTTCTGATGACGACGCATCCACCGCCGAATGGACGAACATGGCGTCTCATTCAAAGATGCGGATCTTAAATATGCCGTGTACATTGCGTCGTCACTCGGCAGCGACAAGATTTCCGATGAACAAGCACCGTGAGATTTTCTCCGTACCTGCCGCTATGGCAAAGTCCCTGCTTGACGAGATTGTCCAAACCTGTCGCCAGGTCTCGACTGGTGGACTCGTGGAGGAGCAGCGGCTGGCGGCTGAGTTGGAAAGAATTAAAGAAGGTATCATCGTGGACAACAAGTTGCATGAGAAGACGCGAGCCACGGAGGCCAAGGACGCCAGTCGGTTGGCCGATATGGCTGCGCGTGAAAACGAAAGTCTGCGTTCGGCCCTACGTGCTTCAGAAGAAGCACGTAAGGCTGCGGAGGATGTACGCTTAGACCTGAGCCAGAGACTCGCATCGTCACAAGAGCAGCTCTTTGAGCTTGCCATGCCGGCCCCGGAAACTGGACCAGAGACTGAGGATCAAAATTTGACTTCAAAAAATTGTTTCAAAAATCCCTTTTAGTCGTTTTTAACCTGCTTGCGAGCCGGGGCTCAGAATTTGAAAGTATTTTTTGAAGCAATTTGTTTTGAAACAGTTTTTGAAGCAATATTTTGAGGTCAAATTTTGATCCCAGTCTCTGGTCAAGTTTCCGGGGCTCAGAATTGGAAACCGGTTTTGAAAAAGTTTTTGAAACAGTTTTTGAAGCAATATTTTGAAGTCAAATTTTGATCCCAGTCTCTGGTCAAGTTTCCGGGGCTCAGAATTCGAAACAGGTTTTGAAACAGTTTTTGAAGCAATATTTTGAAGTTGAATTTTGATTTTCAGTTCCCGGGGCTCAGAATTTAAAATTATTTTTTGAAGCAATTTTTTGAACTCAAATTTTGATTCCAGTCTCTGGTCAAGTTTCCGGGGCTCAGAATTTGAAACAGTTTTTGAAAAAGTTTTTGAAGCAATTTTTTGAAGTCAAATTTTGATCCCAGTCTCTGGTTTAAGTCAAAACAAGGCAGATCCGCGGAGGTATGGATGTGATGGCACTTAAATGATTTTCCGCTATAGTCGTGTAATTGTTAATAGTGACACGGCCGTAATATTTCTTGCGTGAATGTCGTAGAAGCATGAGATGGCACTTTGAAGCAAGCAAACATATCCCAGAGGCAAACCAAATTCGAGCATAGGCCAAGAGGTCACGCCAATGACAAGTTATAGCCATTCGGCCCCAATGCAACATAGCTTCGTCATCGACGAAAAGCTTGAAAATATCGCGAAGCAAAAGAATGGTCTTATCCATAACGGACTGGAGCATATCTGTCATCATTTTGAGGCCAAAGACTCCTGCGACCGACTGCCAAACGTCACTTGTAGATGTCATTCAGATAAGATGCTGGCGAGACGCCTTTGGATATTTTAATTGGTTGAAACTACATGCCATGTCCATTGTGGACAAAATGTCTATTTGTCTAATGTGATTTATACACTCCTGTTCAGTTGGGAGGGGATATGAATCTACATCAAAATTGTCATTGTCAATTTTGTAGTTTTGGCAATATCTGATCACATCCACAATTGATTGTGCTTAACACGCGGGTAAACCGCGCTTGTCATCCATGGGGGCTGTAGTAGTCGCCCGGTTCAGATGCCACGCGCGTACAATGATCAATGTCGTCTACGTGTTTCCGAAGGATCCGATGATTGGTTCTTCTTTTAGAGCTAAAAGACTGTATTAATGTACAGACCCATTTATAAAATAGATACCATCTCATTCACAGTTTTAGAAAGCTTATATACAGGCTTCAATAAGTTGTCGTCCGACTGATTGCTCTGTAGATCAATGTTCGCAGGTTGATAATTATACCTAACAACAAGAAAAATACCAAGTCTACTATCAAGTCATCCACTGTAGTGAATTTCAAACAATGTAAACTGTGCCCGTGAAACACGTTACCCCGTGGCTATAAAAGTTCGAGTTTGTGCAGAGTGTTGTTTACTTCTGTTTATTCGAGCACAAAAGTTTAAGATATTATTGAAAATAATAAATCCGAAGGCGATTATACTTACTACAAAACCCGTTTTATGAATGAGACGTTAGGATGATTAACATCCGATGCGTTGGGTCCGAAATTTCTATCTGCCACTTACTTCTTAAGTGACACATCTATCTGTCTGCTCACAATAAGTGGAAATCTTGAATTTTAATTAATCTCTGACTCTGACTTACTTAATAAACATAAGGCGCATACATCGGACCTAATACTAAACGACATAAGTGTAAAATATGAGTCTTGGACTCGTACATATATACACTTACTAACCTAGGTAAGACATGACCGAAACCGGTTTACTTTGGTTTTTACTTTACAAACTAGATCGTTCTGCTATGTAGAAAATCAGTCTCTGGTCAGTACGATAAAATGAGATAAAGCATTGGGGGTTAACTGTATTTAAATGGTCTTTTTCCAATATTAATTCAAAGTGTTCTAAAATCACTTTGATGGCTCATATAGCCCGAGTATCTTGTATGACTCATATACTTGGCTCTATTTGAGACAATAGGAGTCGTAGGAAGTTATATACTATTAAACTGAATAAATTCTAAGCTACTACTTTTGGTTTTGGTCCTCCCGCAACTTTTCAAAATCCAATAAGTCTCTTTCTGTTTTTAAAGTTTCCTAGGCGGAACTTACTGAACAGGGTTCACATACCTCTATCTGCCTACAATGAAGCCAAGTGGGCTATGAACCCTTAGCACTGCCAATGAGAAAATCTAAAAATCAAACTAGAGATACATTCTGTGTGATCGAGAGTATTTAGGCTCTTACCGAGAGGCAGCCCCGATCATTCGTACACAAGCTACCACTGCCAAATCCTAGCTGACTACAATTGTCGTATATTCGTATGAATATAGTAAAATTTAGAATAAATACCTCGTACTATACGGGGAAGCATGATCTGGAGGGTTTTCTGCTTTGAATGAGAACGACAGTCCCCGAAGGATGGAAAAAGGAACTATCGATAAGGAACCAGTTGTTCCTGATGGCGAGCGAGAGCCGTTTGAAACCCGGCGCGGTCTACAAGAGCAACCGCAAAAGATGTCTGGGAGGCGGCAGCCCTACAGCTCCAGTGAGGTAAAGTCCGCCATGAAGCGGCAGGGGCAAGGGCGTCACCCAGCAAAGCGTAGCCTCGACAGTGCCCTTGATGAGGTCCTGATGAGGTTGATTACTGGTGCAGGTGAGGTGCAAAGACACTAGTCTCACATGATACCTCACCTAGTGAGCAGGGTGTATCTATTTCAAGAGGACAAGCCAGATCTTGAGGAGTGTGATGTGAGGGAAGATTAGAGATCAAGTTTGATCTGGTTTGCGGCAGCTTGTGCACGGATTAGGTAAGTCGCCGGCTGAACTAGCACATCCGGCTGAAGACCATTGTGGAAGCAAAGACCATGGTGGAAGCGAAGACCATGGTGGAAGCGAAGACCATGGTGGAAGCGAAGACCATGGTGGAAGCGAAGACCATGGTGGAAGCGAAGACCATGGTGGAAGCGCATGCTCAAAACAAGAAAGCCCATCGCTTCACAAAGATTGACAAGATTCATTTTTTACCCGAAGCCGAACGTTGCGCCCGCAAACATCCCCAGCAGCAAGTACAGAAGGAGAAGACAAATGAGATAGCCGAGTAGCAGATTATTGACGAGCAGCACGGTAGTGATGTATTGTGGCTATCTAAAACGGTCACAACGCGGAAGGACCGTATGTCGGAGCAGGTTACGTTCCAGCGCATTGCTGGGAAGCTCTGGGTTACGGTGGTCGACTGCGGAAATGGGGTTGCGCAGCCGAAGCTGAATGAGAGTAGTCGTGACATACTCAACGCCCTGGGGCAGGCACTCGCTGTCATTTGGCCATAGTGAGGCCATGTGGCGTTTCCAGGAGATCCTTAGCCGGATTTTTAGTACCTTGGAGATGAGACACATCGATGAAATAGTCGCCGCCTCTGTCGATACAGTGGAGCAGCACTGGAAGTACCTGATGGCGTGCTCTGAGCGGTGTGAAAATAGGATGTACAGTTTGGCTTGAGACAGGCGCTGATGTCTTACCACAAGGACCCAGGTGAGCTCCTTGGGCGATGGGCTGGCTTTGAATGAGTCACAATTGTTGCGGATAGGCTGGCTCCGTTGTTGGAGGTAGACTACCAAGACAACCAAGACAGAGTGCGTTCCTGGTATCACACAGCTGTGGCGTTTTGGAAGAACTATAGCGATGGGTTCACACAGATCGTGGCCTGACCGGTTGGGTATGTACGCAACTTTGGTTCAGCCGGTCCCAAGGAGCCGCTATGTCAGGATGCAGATGCATGTGAGCATTTTGATGTTGAGGGAGTTAAGTACGTCCTCCGTGATGAGAAATTGTGGCCGGTGGCATATTTCTCGTCGACATTGTGCCTGCCCAGCTCAACCAACTTGTTACTGACAAGGATTGGCTGGCGCAGGTGCATGGCATACGCAAGTTGTGACCGATATACAAGCGCTCGCACCATCCGATGACGTTGTTTTTGGACCACGAAGCTTTGCTGTCTATGTGGCATCAGGATGAAATTGCCATGGACCCTAAAGATAGGCAGCAAGGACGTTGGCAGGAAGTTTGCCGGGGCATAGATGTAGCGGATATGTTGAGTCACCTCATGGGATATATTGAGTCGCCGCATGGCAAAGGTAGACCCAATCATGAAGCAAGTTGAGGGTCAGGGTACAAACCCGAGGCGTCGGGTGACATGTGGCGGTACTCTGTTGCGCACGATGCATGGCGCGTACTAACGAATACAAAGCGGCCAACTTTGTATTTAAAAAGACAGAGAGGGTGTAGGGGGTCCATACGCATAATGCGCTTGCTCGGCCGGGCAACCAGCAGCTCCTGAAGTATTTTTTTTCCATGAACATATGAGGGGGAAGGGGGCGTTGACGGTGTTGGATTTCTCGGGTGCTGGCCAAGGTGACCACGGAGCAGCGGAAGACCACTCTTGTGTCCATACATGCAGTAGACGGGGTGATGAGAGTGATAACGAAGTTGTCAAGGGCGCTGATTGCCATTCCCCCGCAAAAAGGTGCATTTATTCGACATGGTCACGAGGGATTGTGCGCTCCCCCACGGGGCCGACTCTTCTGTGTAGTATAAAACAATCGGAATTCTATACCGGACGAGTTCTGGGCAGGTGCGCAGGCGTTCACTCCCCGCCTGGTGATGGGCTGTACTGGAGCCCCTGCGTGCTGCTCGACTCACACTGCGCACGAGTAGAATTTCTTGTTGGACGAGTCGTTTGAGCATGCCTCGCAAGCGAGGGCAAAGCAAGCGGGAGAAGGCAGCGACGTGAGAGCTGAAGCAGGAGCGGGAAGCGTTGTTGGCACGCAAGAGCGGCTCCCTCTATACCTTGCGGGGGCATAAATCGACACCTGCCAGATGAGGAAGCAACATGGCCCGCGTCAATACGAGCTCATACAGCAGCCTGTACGAGTGCGAGATCTGTTCCAGCACGCGTTCAGGGACTTTACAGACCTTCTACACTCAGACGTCCGAGGGCTATCCTTATCTTTGTTGCTGACGGGCATGATTCTGCTCAAGCTGTTCAAGTACAAGAGAAGAAGGATGGACACGCGGTTCCTGTAGCAGGGCGTGCATCCTTGGGGTCAGCTATCGACATGCACGTTTGCCCAGGATAGGGTCTTGGATTACCAGGACATCCGTCAGTTCACAGTAAGGTAGATCCGGCTACGGCGAACCACCATCAGGGCACTGGTTCGGCTGAAGCCGCTTTCAAGGTGGCGAAGGATTGGATCTTCAAATCCCTGATGGAGGATATGCGGGGGGACTCGGTGTACCTAAGTACAATGTTCTGGCAACGTCCATCCGGCGGCACGCGCGGTACATCATGGCTACGAACCGACGGTATGACGGTGACCATGAATTTGCGCTTGACTATCATGTGCGAGCGCTGTTGCAACAGCCGGACACAGCGGCGGCCAGCAGAATTGATGCTGATGCGAATGTCAATGTCATAGTGGCGCAGTATGCGCAGTTAAAAATGGGCAATGCTGCGCGTGTGGATGCCATCAAGCTTACACCAGGGGACAGGGTGTAGTTCAGGGCCAAAGCTAATCAGGCGCAGTCGTCTCCGTTGTAGCATGGTCCTGCCATGTCGGTTTTCGAGGACAGCCCGGAGCTGTATGAATATATACCTGAGCCTGACATCTTACACCAATAAATGGAAAGTAGTAAATAGTCTAAAATTTAACACCAACGAGTCAAGTAGAAATACCTGACTTCTCTAGCCCAAAGGTAATTTTATATAGTATACATGGCATATATAGGATATCAAAAATCACAATGTAACCTTTTTGTCCTTGAATCAAGGTGGTAATTTACGTTGAACTGCGGCCTTTATGAACGAAAACCGCACCGCTTCGAAATCTGCCTGGTCCAACTAGTTGCAAACTCAATGATAGCATTTACACTGGCAAGGATGGTTTGCATATATATAAACAGAGCAGCTTAAAAGTGATGCTAGGCAAACAACAAATACTTCACAAGTTCGAAGCAGCATCTTCCTGACATTGATGGGACACGGTGCAAGATAAGATTCTTTAAAAGTCTATGTAGTTCCGAACTTCCGCCTCAAGTTTCTAGATATTTGTCTACACAGCCGGTGGTTTATGAAATGTGGTGATTCATAAATATATTCGTAGCAGAGCACTTTATTAATGGGAGATATAGCTATTCTGTTTAGTATAAAACATTCGAAATTTAAGCCTTATTCGACTTCTCCACCTTTCTACCTTTCTTTTTCTTTAAAGGCTCCATCATATTTTTCGCTATCAACCTCAGTTTTGATTTTGGCGTGCTATTATCGATAGCATCACACGAGTTGTGCTTGCTTCTGTCGCCGTGTAGCATTAAATCAGTGCTTTCTCCCATACCGATTCTTTGCCCCTCACTCATACCTCGCGTAAGTTTCATTCGATTGTCCTTTAGCTGATATCGAGAGGGCTGCAGAGCCTGTTGCAATAGGTCGCGACTGCCAAAACTGCCTTCACAAGAGCCGTATTGCTTTGATGTCATGCGCTCGTACATAGAGCGTCGGCGATGGGCAGCACGATCTTCGAAGTAGGGACGTGCAGCAGCACTTTCCAATTCGAATCTACTTAAAGCTGGGGATCTAGCACTTCCACCGGCTGTAGACGTGCTCGCAAACGAAGAAGTGACGAGCGGCGATGCCATTGAGACCTTGTAGGGCAAATAGCTAGCGGTTTGCACAGATGGTCTACGCACGGATGCCAAAGCGGAAGCTAGAGGCGAAGAAGGAGCTCTTTCCAGTAACAGGTGAGGATTAGAATGTGATAGGGATCGAGCCGGGAGGTTCGGGGATGGCCTTGTCGTTTGTTCGGAATATATTGCAGATTGTGGTAGCGGTTTTGTGGATAGCTGATTGTGCGACAGCTCTGTGTCTTCCGTGAAAGAAGTGTCAGTGTCCAGAAATGATGCACTGCAGTGCAAAATCGAGGGGGCCGGTTTCTTTTTGTCAATACTAGATCTCCGCTGTCTAGAAGATGATGTCTCACTTTCAGAAGCCTGCGAGGTGTAAGGAACGAAAGATAAGTCAAACATGATAGAGCGCATGGTTGATCTAACGACAGGAATACAAAGCATAAAAAAGTGCCTTTCAAATCAACCTACTAAGTGTATCTTGATTATTTCACAATCCTGCACGGCATTTGCAATAAAATCAAAAACAGCACGTACATCGCAGTGATTGCTATAATACGATATACATACTGTACTAGCATAGTCGTTATCAGACGTGCAATCTTGGAAGTCCATCATCACATCGGTTTGCTGCGAGTGTGATTTCTTGATCCGAGTTTTGGCGTCCCTTTGTCTGATCTGTCAATTTGTGATGTGTAAATGCGCTGTTGAGGGTTTATTTATACAGGCGAAGCAATCAAGAGGCTTTTCATGATAATGCGATGTAATTTCACAGAAAAGTAGACCAAATAAATAAATTTTAAAATGCACATACCTCTTGCGATTTCTCCATGGAGTAATCTTTGTGATGGACGTGTACGAAGAGTGAAGCAAGATCGTGCGCTTCACCAAACGCCGTATTAAGTGGCACACATCGAAAACCTGCAATATGAAATGCGAGAATATGGTACTCGAACATTCTCGAAGTCTTCACGTAAGATGGTATGAAATGCTCTAATATCAAAAGCATGTTACAATTGAGCGAAATATCATCGGGTTCTTTGGTGAGAACTCACCTGACCTCAATCCACTGACAGGGTACGTGACCTGACCTAGTAGTTGTGGTTCGTTGAAAATATCACCGTTCCAAACCGAGAGACGAACGAATGCCAATTCCGGACACTGTAAGCATACAGAAATAAACAGTAGTTGTTGATTCATTTGTAGCTAAAGAATACATGCTCGACGTGGCGTGCAAAATTGTCCTGTCAATCAGAGGCAAGTCAATGAGCAATATACAAAATGATGATGTGCTACGTTTTATAGAAACCGAGGATAATGTCACGCACAATTAGCGCGCCAAGAATTACAATATAGCAAGAGAAATACATACGAGTGATACATGTGAGGATTTAGAAACGAGGGGAAGACCTTAAGATGACATACCAGGACGTGTATACTGGTTTCCAAATTGAAAACACATGATAAAGGGCCACCCGCTGTGAAGTAAAAGTGAACAATCATATTAGCAGTTCAACGGGTGGTTTGTGTACTACATGAATTGCATAACGGAAGTGAAAATAATCCCCACAACAGAGTGTGTTGATAGTTATGCACGAAACTGTTAATTAAACAATATTTGACGAAAAAGCGCATTATAGTACGTAATTTTAGCAAGACGAACACGGAAATATATATTTATGTAGTAGAAACACCTATATTTGCGTATGAGATATGAAATTTATAATGTGAGCGCCATTAAGAATGAGCAAGATTGTAGTTGCGGCGCTTCAAGTTCCTCTACTCAGGAAGAGAGGTTTAACGACATACATTGTATTGACGACTGTCCTAAGCACACATGGTCTGCTTGTACGCCAGTAAGGTCAACAGACACAAACAAGCCTCCATTTCCTTTTGTCTTCAACTTCTTGGCTTGTCCCAATTTCGCGGATTTCTTGCTCTTCTTAGCGGTCAGCTTTAGATGTTGCCCCGTTATGATCTGAAATTACAAGTCACCAGAGGATAGGGCTGATTGAGTACCTTGTTTATTCCATCATGCGCCTAAGCTGAATAGTTGATAATGCTACATCATTCCACACGGTACGTCATTCAAGGTAGATAACATTGCAGCTGTAAAATCCGTGTCAAAGTTCGTGTCGTAAACTATCGCAATCACTACTATTCCACTGTAATTGCAATACGTACCTTGATTTGAAGCTTGCGTACACTGCCCGGGAATGTAACAGGGTCTAGCGGATTGAATGTGCTATTTATTGATCTTAGTTGAGGGGGCTTCAGAATGTAACCGCAGCCGCCATTCGATACGAAAAATCCATTGTTGAGCTGGTATGATAGAGGGGGAAACAGCGACATGGAAGCATATTAGCAATCCATATTCTAGCTTTCAGCATCCGACGTATTCGAGCGATAGACAGCAAACGTTAAACTGAATATATTGCAGTAACACAGAGAAAAGCGATGGATGGGATAAGCCGAAAGCACAGAACGAATAAACATATCACAGTAACACGGATAAAAGCGACACACGGGATGAAACGAAAAGTATAGATCAATTTTAAAAGTAAAATGTACCTGCATATGTTTGTCAGGATTCTGGAAGTTAAGGGATACCATCGAACAGCCCACACCCCAAAACCAGGTTGGATCGTAGTTCGATGAATCCACTCTGCGGGCGGCGGGATAAATTCGGCAGGCTTGCCTTGCATTATACACTACGTAGCTGCAAATAGTAGAGTATCCGAATATGATAAGCAAGCAATCGAAAAGCCTCCAACGTTCTGTACACCCGAAAATCACGAGCATCATGCTGAGAAAGGGATGGGGATGGCTAAACACTGGCACTTTTCCTCACACCAGACAATGGCTTGACGTGCTACATCAAAAGAAGCATAAACACAGCAACCACACAATAAGAGACTTGCGAATACTCAAAGGTCGAAAAATGAGAAGTCAACTATATGAATCGCACACACCTCGTGGGAGACTTCTTTGCCATGGTCATAGCTCGGGGCTCTGGAAAAGAAGTTAGCTCGTAGCATCGATTGATCGCTGCACTTTTTTCAAAAGTAGTGAATCTGACAGGCACGAAGTACCGCACTAGATCACTCAGCATTTGGTCTATACCACACGCAGCCTCTCTGGCAATTCTTTCGTCTCTTTCCTTCAGCTCAGCCGACGTCCTCCTGTCAGCGATATTCTTCACAGCGTCACACCACTCAACCAGATCCTGCGTATTACTGCTGCTGACGGTGATTGTTGTTGCAAATTGCGATGCAGACGGTATCGACGCTGCTCGCGTGTTCCCAGAAAAGGGCTTGCTACTGGTGGTGGTCAGGATACTGCTACTGCTGGAGGCTTTGCGTGTTTCTGACTGCGAGTCGATGCTCGATCGCTTCTCTGAACGTGTACGGGATTTGTGGCGCTTGTCATCTTGGCTGTAAATCGCAGCATGTATTTCATCCCACTGCTCAGTAAGCGAAGTCATCGAGGCGTACATGGTCGTTTCGTTAGAGGATAATAGATTACTGCAGCTGCTACTGTATCGCTCAGATCTCTCACCTCGTGAATCCTTGTTGATAACAGTCGCTACCAGGGGATTTGGTGACAAAACTTCGGTACACACATGAACACCTTCTGTGCTCAAAGTATCGCAACGATTGCTACGTACCCCATGCAAAATTGGTGTACTGGAGCTTCCGAGATGACCTGCCTGTACGTGTTTGGTGGGAATTTTCGCGAGCTTCAGCGCATCGACTGGACCATGGATCCGCAGCACATTCGGACACGATTCACTCTCGTCAAATTTCACATGACATCCTGATAGCGACATGACCCCACGCTCGTTCTTTAGGGCCGCCTGCTGGCCCTTGGACTGACGCACTACAGAGTCGCTTCTCTTACTATGTTCCGAAATACTGCTTTTCCGACCTGCACCTACTCTAGTACTATTCCTCCTCACTCTTAGTGGCAGCACTGCGCTTGACCCGGTACCGCTCCTGGTTATGTGCGACGTGGAACGTGCCACAGCAATCTTCTGTGACAGACAATCCTGCGGTAAGGTTCCGCCACCTGAATCAATCGACTCAAGTGAGATTGGATCCGCAACCGAGGGCATGGGCATTGACCTTGCCTTGTACGACCGGGAGTTCGGAGGCTGTGATTGAATCCCCAAAGTGATACCAGCAGCAGGTACATTCTCAGTCTTCTGTTTCCGCGAGTTCCAAGTGGTTTGTTCAATCATTGACTTATCCTCGGTACAACATACCACTTCTATAGCTGAGTGTACATCGGCATCACATGCAATATCAGAGGCCACACAGCACGAGCCTTCTTGCAAGACTCCAGTATCGTCGAAATCACACCCAGAGGTTGCGACAGCACACAGATTAGACCCTGAGGCTGATGCAAGGCCTATAGTTTTAGGTGTAGGAGTGCTTGGGGAGGATGTCATAGGTGTCGGTGTTGGCGGGCGAAGGGAATGCTCTCGCTGTGAGCCTTCCCGAGAAATTTTCTCAGTGTTATGCGGTGATGTTGTGTTCTTAATAGTAGAGGTAGGTTTGGAGACGGGTGCGTGAATCGGGTTTGGCAGTATGAGCGGGCTTTGGCGGTTCCAATTCGTTGTCATAGGAATAGCCGGAGCGCTCTCAAGTGTCGTTGGGGTTGAGGCTGGCTTCGGAACACCTACCTCACCTACCTTAGATGCAGTGCGCGACGCCGCAACAAATTTATCATCCTCGGGTAGAGTATCCGGCTACGAAGTGGTAAAAAGGTAGATGAGGAGAGTACGTGGTATCGACAAGAAAAGTAAAATATAGCGTTCGTAATATTGTGAATAATACTGAAAAACTCAGGAAAACAAATATGAGAAATTCGTTCAGCGGTATAAGAAATATAATCATATCCAAGAACACCTACCAGTGCCACGGTGTCTTTCAACACTAATCCAGACACTCCATTCACTGGCAAAGGATTCGTCCTGTAGTACATAATCAACTCTCTGATTGTTTTAAAGCCGTCGTAATTTGAGTTACCCACGTTGACTCTTCCCAAACTATCGTCATCTAATACATTTATCCCTGACGAAGTAGTCACGTCACTTTGGAATACAACTCCGTTATCCTTGGTGTTCCAATCGTGCGACGCTTTCTCATCGCTTGCGCCCGCAAGGGGCTTATCGTGCGTTGTACTCTGAATCTCGACCGCTGTTAAACCGTCTGATTCACTGTCGTCGCAGCGTAGTAGCGGAATACTAATTTCAGCCGCAGTAGGCTCGAAGTTTATAGATGTCGGGGTTAAATTCATACAGATTGTGCCGGTACTGAAATGCAGGGCGATATGGTGAAATCTTGGGTGGGGGCCACACCCATCGTATACTGATAAGATGATACGTTTCTTTTGCCTGCAGCCTGCAACGCCACTCATCTCAGCGCCTGCAACAGCTTCCACATCAATATCATCAGGCTGCGTTTCTCTCAGCAACCATACCCCATGTGCAATACACCGCAACAGAAGCATCTCAGCTGCATCCCGGGTCCACTCCGACCCAAACACGACACAGTCGTCCACACTCACGCTATTCGTTCTAGCATACCACGTGCTCGCCTTTATCGCAAACTTCTCGTCTTCTAGCACACCCGCAGATATGACTGTCGTGAGCGTCCTTCTTTTTGATAAAGGAGGTGCCAAACTAGTGTTTGCAACCTCGTTCGTCATATTTATACTAACTTGTTCATCTCCGTCGAATGCGTAATCTTCACTTGAGATAATGGGCAGTGAGAGTGATGGCACATCATGCGTTTTTCTAGAGGTAACTGGACTCATTGACAAGGTCTCAGTGATGTCGAGTTTAGACACTTCGAGCACTTCATCAGTGGTACTCACGACCGAATCAATTTGGGATAATTCGCCTTCACCTGTGTATTGGCTTTGTTCCAACTGCCCGGGTGTTTCGCTTTGTGGAGTCTCCACCCAGTGCAAGGCTTCTCCAGTCAACACAAAGTAGAACTCCTGCCATGCTCGGGAGTCATCTTGAGGTACATCATTGCCTACATACTCACCCGTATACAGTTTCAGCTTGCCCTGTTTTTTGATATAGTATATGTTGCATTTATTTTCAGACTATGTATTGCCTTTATCACATTTCGGCTTTTTTTCGAAAACAGAATGAGCACCAAAAGATAGATAACACGCTGCCACTCACTTCTGGATGAGTGTCAGCATCTGAAAGGAAACATATTGCGCACCTGCTTGACGGCGAAACTAACATCTTCAAGATCGTCCAGGCTCATGGATTCACAATTTTCAGATGCTCGTCTATCTGGGCTGTCCCCAGCTTTACTCGCATCCCCAATCTTCTTGTTTTTAATTAAGATTTTGCGCTTGAGCTGCTCGGGAGATGGCAGTTGCGTACAGTACTCACCCGGCTCAGATCCTACGGAAACAAATTAACAGAACTCAGTTTGGCGACATCGAAAGTCAAATCGGGGAAAGGCAAACCATATATAGCACACTTGATTGGTTTTTTCTAAGATTTTTACCAAGACTATTGCAGAGCCTGATAGCTAGAGCTGCGAAAAGCCAGCAATAAAGTTGACGCGGTACAGCATGCACTTATGTAGTGCCTAGTTCTATACTCCATTCGTACCTTCTTCTTCAAGAGTATCCATGAGCAACAGATGTGACATATGCTTGTGGAATGTCTCGGCCATAAAGCGCTGTTGCGCTACACTGCAGTGATTTTCTATCGAGATGATCAATGGGTAGTCCGTTGCATCAAAGGCATGTTCCGCTACAGCGATTACCACATCCTCGAATAATATTCTGAGAGAAAGTTCATGAATAGGAACAAGTACATCGATTCAGAACAGCTGAGAATTTAATAAAGTTGTATCACTTGAAGACATTTTTTAGGTGTTTGTGACGATCATCGAGTGATCGACTCGATACAAGCACTAAGTCAAAACTGCGCTGACATACTTTGTTGTGATCGTGTATCCGTGGTAAATGACAGGTTGTCCATTTTTCCCATCCCAACAGTCGAATTCAATGCAACGACATCCTGCTCTCAAAGCTCTAATGTACGCCTCGCACGATGACTCACTTTGCAATTGGTCTCCCATCAGATACCTGTGTGTAAGGGTAGTACATTTACGTCACGAATGTAGCGGTGTATTAGCAACAAAATAGATGCATCTAACAAAATACCTACTGTTTAGAGATCGTATGGCACGGAGATTCATTCTGTTCATACAGATTGTTATTGACACAAATTTAAGTATGCAGCAAAGCTTGAACGGGCAACATCGCGAAATCTGCGATAAAGATTCACACTTAGCATTGGTATAAAAAGCATTTGCTATACATCAAAGATCAATTTCCAAGCAGTTGTCTCTTACGTGTTATGTGATGAGTTTATGAAGTACTCGTTGATGGGGTGGTGCATATCCATGTGATGGCGTGTGTAGGCTGGATCAAGCAGCGAATTCTCATTTATGTTCTTCAGGAAAGCGCTGAACTGAAGTCGGGATAGTCCAGCTGCACCCCCGCACTATAAAAAAACAAGTGTTTTAGGAAGGAGATTATAAGAACTTTAACAACTTGCAAACAGATTCGATACTAGTGAAAGGCTACAGACTACAGCTTCAAAGGATGCAGAAGTGATGACCAGTACATGGGTTTAATCTAGAGCAAACAGTGTCACACTTCTCATCATCCTTATCACCGGTTGTTACTGGAAGTATAGAGCGAAGAAACAGCCTATTTAACTCATGTACATACCCTCGCTTCGGGGTCGCCGAAAGTACGGATAATATTCCAGATATATTCATCGTCTTCAGCCTGAGATTCGAGTTGTACCTGAATCAAGAATGACTGCAACTCGCCAAATGGAATCCATCCCGAATCTGATTCGATTGCTATCCATTCTAAAGCTTGTTCAACTGAGTTGCACGTCACCCATTCGTAATATAAAGCTTCAAAGCCGATTTCGTCCACCTATACAAATGAAACGTTTAGATTAAACTATTTGCATTGTCGATGTCACGTATAAAGCAAAAAATAGCTAATAATTGCTTATCAACATAGAAAGTATATCAACATCAGTCTGTTGTAATTTTAACCCCGACACTGCACTAGGCGTTCCCAATCAAAATGTCAATTTCATGCAGGAGGCCGAGGTTCATCGAAACATGTCCTTTACTTCAACTTGAATATTGATCACTTTTACTCGCACACCTTATACTACAGAGTACAGAGTAACAGGGTATAGCAAGTATCAGAACTGGTACATGCGGTGATTCCAATATCTCATAGACCAACACGTGGAAGCCATAGGCAACATAAAAAGTTTTAGAAGAACAATAATATGACATTTCTCCTCGCCCGATTTCTCGCACTTACATCTAGCTGCAGAGATAATCGGTGACAACCTCTTGCATTTTACATACCAGACGCTTATCGTGCGAGGCAGATGGTGAAGTGTGAGTTGCTGGCGTGGTCTTGTCGATGGTGTCTTTCAGCGTCTTCATTTTGAGCGGCAGACCCAAGTCCTTCATGCACCTGAATTGTGAATTTCAAATCCAAGTCAGACACCAACACCTAGAGCGTGAAGAGCTTTCACCGACAAACAAAGCATTTACTGGCATACTAAGAAAACGCTACCTATTTAAAATAAAAAGTATCAAAGCTTTGAAGCAACACTTCTGTATATCCATAGCTTGTGTGCATCTATGACTGAATCCCTTCTGTGTCCTGTATCTATACCTCTTCATTCTAGATTCAGCCATCACTTGGGGAGCCTCAGTCTCAGCGCTTAAGCTCATAGACGACGTACGACTGTTGCTGACACTACCAAACGCTGCACTCCAGCTTTGTTTGAGCCACCGATCTAGAATTAGACTGTGTCGCACGTATTTAGGCGCTAAAGCTAGCCGCAAATTTCTGTGAGAAATAGAGAAGACCTGATATGAGTGATCAGCCACTTATTTCTGGTCGTATGCAACGACGCTGTACATCATCAGTCTCTATGACACCCTTGATCATGTCCGGACATTCTGATATATATAAACACCAAGAGGGTTCCAATATGCTTGTGGTAGACGAGTCTTATAGACCCGTACAGTAAGCCTAAATTGCCAGATTTTATAGTATTCGCTTTCATGGATGTGCGCGTGCATACCTTATCCATTCTTGAGCATCGTACGGATGGGCGGCGACGAAACACAGCGCCTTTAGTTTAAAACTACGACCGTACAAAACTGTGAAACTCGACTCTGCCTCCATATGATAATCTGTGTGGATTCGATCTCGGGGAAATCCCTTGTGGTTCTGACCCGCGCGAATCTCTCTGATTTCGAGCAGAGATACTGATGGAAGTTGCAAAATAATTAATATCATTGTGGGTAAATCGCGAGAAGGGAAAAACAATATGGTCAATAAAGTCCAAGAGTATTGCGACGAAACTTCAATGACGGAGTTGAATGGCTGCACTGAGTCGAATTCACATTGCTTCCTTAAAATTCGGGTGTGGATTACAAAGTATTGCAATATGACACACCAGTAATATCTGGCTTGACTGTAGTAGCATTTGGAGACCATAGCTCCAAAGCCCAATCAGTGCGATTGAGTCGACACAGTCGTGGTACGGGTCGCGAGCTTCTTGTTCCTGAAAGCCACAAAAGAAGACCACCCTGTGTCAGCCATTCGATGCGACTAGCATCTTCAGCTTCTGACTGGCTCTCTGCGGCCCTCCCTATTTAGTATGAATGCAAGATACCAGGAATGAGGGGAGAAAAAAAAAGTTTTCGCTGGTTCACAGTATAGTTCATACTCATACCACTACGAGGACGAAGTCTCAATCCAATGTACATGTATGTACAACTTAAGCAACAAGTAATTCTGCCATCTGTATTTGCAATTCGACATTACGAAGAATGTCCGCCTGTTATTTATATACATA